TTTTGGCAAGTGGCTGCACGTCCGGCTCAGATAAATGCTGGGATAGTCGATGACCGCAGCAGTTGAGCAAAAACTGATGGCAACTCACAAACTAGCAGGCCGCCTTGCGCAGGTATTTACTCTAGAACGAAATAGAACGTGCTGTTTCATAAAATCAAATGAGTGCTTGATATCAAGATAAGCTGCTGGGAGACTCAGGCTTGCACAAGTGTAGCGTAGCTATCACACAGCCGTCGTATGTCATCAGGTCAACCTCCTGGCTGACAACATCAGTGACTGTACCCCTGACTCGCTCCCCAAATCCCGCGTTTCTTTGGTTTTTTTACACTGTCCCAAATAGTTTTTGCCGCTGCCCTATTATAAGGAGATATACACGCCCGCACACACACACACACACACACACATATATATATATATATATATATATTATATATATATATATATATATATATATATATATATACATATATATATATATATATGTAACGGATGAGACATGGCGTCAGTCAGAACACCAGTTTATTCTGACCCTTCGTCTTCCTCATCTTCCTTGCCCACATTCACCTGTGAAGCGTCACACGTTTCCCCCTCCCTCCGCGAGAGCGTCAACTTATTGGGACAATAGTAGCGGCGCAGTTTGTTGACGTGCACAATATCAGTAGTTCTGCTTAACGGAGCTACGCATCGATCGATCTCATAGTTCACAGGAGAGACTCTGCGAAGAATTGTGTAAGGTCCTTTATGCCATTACATTGAGGGTGTTAGGAGGATGTGAACAATTGGTGGACACCATTGCGTTTTAGAAACTGCTTGAATTTTCCAGCTGTGAAAGCTGGTCCACGATCAGATAGGAACTTCTTGGGTTTTCCTGCTGCAAAGATGGCGGTGATGCACGAAATGTATGCGTCACAAGTTTCGTTCTTGTGGGGAAATGCCCAGACATACCGCGTAGCGTGGTCGATCGCCAAGTGAATAAACTTCTTTGTCGAGCCATATCCTGAAAAGCCACCTATAGTGTCCATTGCTAAAAGATCAAAGCGTTGTTCTGCAGGTGGTAGTGACTCTAGAGATCCGAATCTCTTGGTTTTCGGCTTCTTGCAACGCTGACATATGTCACAGTGGCGGACGTAGGATGAAACGTCTGTGATGATTTCCGGCCAATAGTAGGATGATGACAACAAGCCCAGAGTTTTCTTTACTCCGACGTGTCTGAACTGACAGTGAGCTTTCTGCAGAAGGCTCAGTCGAAGCTTGAGAGGAACATACACTTTGCGAATTCCTTTACGTGTCACGATAGTGACCCCGTTTTCCGTTGTGTACTTGCAGCGAGGGTGGTCATCCTGGTAAGTTTGAAGTTCTGGTAATGAAAGGAGTTGAACCATATATATAGGCTTCGCGAAAATGCGTCTGCCTCGATATTTTTGCTGCCTTTTTGATGTCGAATGTTAACGTCATACATCGACAGCTTCAAAGACCATCGAAAGAGCCGGCCATGTGGGTTTTTTATGTTTCTGATCCATTGTAAAGCAGCATGATCGGTGACAACAGTGAATGGTCGTCCATGTAGGTAGCAGTGCCACTTGTCAACAGCGTCAATTATAGCGAGGCATTCGAGCTCTGTAATGGCATAATTTAATTCGTGCGCGAGTAGCTTACGCGAGTGATAGGCAACGGGGTGTTCTTTACCATCATGATCTCTTTGCTTCAGAACTGCACCTACGCCTACGTTAGATGCGTCGCAATAAAGAATGCATGGTTTCTCGCAAGAAAAAATTCGTAAAATGGGTTCTTTGGTCAGATAGTATTTCATGTTCTCAAAGGCTTGTTCACATGAGGAATCCCATTCCCATGGTGTGTCCTTCTTCAACAGCTTCGTAAGTGGGAAAACTATGTCACTGAAGTGCGGTATAAACTGGCGGTAAACGTTGGTGGTGCCTAAAAAACGCTGAAGCTCTTTCGGGGATTTCGGTCTTGGGAATCGCAATACAGCTTCTATGTTTCTTCGTATAGGCGACACTGTACCGTGCGACACTCTGTGACCCAGATATTCAATAGAATCTTGGGCAAAATGACATTTCTTCAATTTAAGTTTTATATTCTCCATTTTTAGGGCATGCAATAGAGCTTGGAGGTGCTGTAGGTGCTCAGTAAATGTGTCGGAGAAGACTACGATATCATCAAAATAATTAACGACATTCTTTAAGTTATGTTTTCTGATAACTGATTTCACAGCTCTTTCGAATGTAGCAAGAGCATTTCTCAAACCGAAAGGCATAACAAGCCACTCATAATGACCATTCGGCGTGACAAAAGCTGTTTTTGTGATGTCCTCTGGGTTGATTTTGACATGCCAATAGCCTGATGTGATATCCAATGTCGAAAAATATTTCGATTTTCCCAGGTAGTCTAGAACATCGTCTATACGCGGAATATATTGGTAGTCAGGCACAGTGGCAGAGTTAAGCTTTCGATAACCAATGCATAAACGTGTGCGTCCTTCACCTTTTTTCTCTGCAAGAATGACTGGAGCCGCGTATGGGGAAAAAGATGGACGCACTACACCATGCTTGAGAAGTAAGTCCACTTGCTTGGCAATTTCCTCTTTGTCTGCCAGGGAGCATCGATACGGTGGTCTGTGGATAGGCACGTTGTTGCTGAGGGCAATGCAGTGTCGTTCCTCCGCGATACATCCGAAGTCCATCTGAGACTTTGAGAAAATGTCTTCGTAACTGTGAAGCACCTCTCTCAAAGCAGCTTGTTGCGATGGTGGAAGGTGCGTGACATCAACGGTTTGGAGAGGGGTTGTATCGGCGCTGAAGACACACTTTTGTGTTTGAAAGGAATTATGCAAAGCTTTGTTGTCTTGAAACAAAGTCATCGTGTTTAAATCCAGTGATAGGTTGAAAAAGGAGGCGTTGTCCAGGCCTAGCAAGAATTCAGTCTTCATGCCTGGTAGAACGTGTGCTTGGACTGCCCGCTTTAACTTCCCTATCTCCAACTGTATGTGTACGCGGCCCAAAGTTTTTGTGGTTGAGGTGACTTGTTGGACACTAATGCATGAATCCTTGAGCAACTGCAGCTTGAGTTTTTTGAACACAACTTCATTGATACAGGTAATAGTCGCTCCTGTATCCAGAGCTGCGTTTACCATGTGTCCGTTCACAAGTGCACCAAAACGTATTAATGAGCCTTTGGGCCGCCCTCTTCGTTTCCCTGGTTGTCAGTTAGAGCAGACACCATTTCACGACGAGGGCACTCATTGTGCCAGTGAAACTGATTCGGCAAACCAGCAGATGCACAATGTCGGCACTCACTGTGAGGGGTGCGCATCAATCCTGTAGGGAGCCATGGTCGCGTAGAATGAGGCTCTCGACGCATGAGCTGCCGTTTTGACGAGTGTTGGGAAGCATCTCTGTGGACAGAGTCTTCCGCTTGAAGTGCAGCAGCAAGCCACTTGGCTGGGGTGGTGAGCGTCAATCCAGCAAGGCGCCTTTCGATCTCTTCAGGTACACCATCAGTCAATCCTGATACTATGTGAACGTCTTTTAAGCCTGCGAGGCGACCAAGGTGTGTCTTGTCTTCGTAGTAGTGCCTGATGCGCTGTTCTCTTTTGAGCCTGCAGTGTATGAATTGGCGGAAAGGGTCGCTAACAGGTGCAGAAAATCGTGATATCATGCTTGTTTTGATGCCTTCCCACGTATCTTCTGCGTCGAAAATCTCGGTGAGGTACCAGCGGAAGGCCTCACCTTCCAGGTACTCGCTGATGCAGTCGATGCGATCTCGTTCGGACCAGCTGACGTTGCTCGCCTTCGTTTCGAAGAGGTGCAACCACTTGTCAACAGGGACGTCGTCTTCAGCTCCGGTGTATTTCGGCAGGCTGATCATCTTCTTTGGTGGGCTCATGATGTTGCTGCGGTAGATCCTGTCGACTTAGTGTAACGGATGAGACATGGCGTCAGTCAGAACACCAGTTTATTCTGACCCTTCGTCTTCCTCATCTTCCTTGCCCACATTCACCTGTGAAGCGTCACACATAGAATAGAACGTGCTGTTTCATAAAATCAAATGAGTGCTTGATATCAAGATAAGCTGCTGGGAGACTCAGGCTTGCACAAGTGTAGCGTAGCTATCACACAGCCGTCGTATGTCATCAGGTCAACCTCCTGGCTGACAACATCAGTGACTGTACCCCTGACTCGCTCCCCAAATCCCGCGTTTCTTTGGTATTTTTACACTGTCCCAAATAGTTTTTGCCGCTGCCCTATTATAAGGAGATATACACGCCCGCACACACACACACACACACACACACACACACACACACACACATACACACACACACATATATATATATATATATATATATATATATATATTATATATATATATATAATGAACCTATGTAAACAAGAGTATATTATTTTAGGACAAGATAAAAATGATGTTTTTTGCAAGAGTCCTTGGCCACTGCTGAGTAGGCATGCGGCAATGAAGGCGTTATGACTTTGTAAATATCATCGGGTTCTTTAGGTAATGCTTTGAATTGTGTTACGTGTGGCAATTGCTGGTGTTATTCAACATTTCTGTAGAACTGTTCACACGTCATTGCCTGAAAACTGTGCCACGACGTGCGAGTAAGTGTATTGACTGGTAAAAGAGACCCTAATGAGTCACACATACACTGCCTAAAATGTTTCTTTTGCTAAAACCGATGCCTACTTAGAACAATAGTAATGTTTGTAATAACTATATTTTATTACTGTTAGAGATATAGGAACACATTACCTCCACAATTTCCAATGAGTTTGTTCACACGTCATTTGCCTGAAAACTGTGCCACGACGTGTGAGTAAGTGTATTGACTGGTAAAAGAGACCCTAATGAGTCACACATACACTGCTTAAAATGTTTCTTTTGTTAAAACCGATGCCTACTTAGAACGATAGTAATGTTTGTAATAACTATATTTTATTACTGTTAGAGATATAGGAACACATTACCTCCACAATTTCCAATGAGTTTGTCATTATTCCATCGAGACATATTTCTCCTGAAACAAAAACAGGTTGAATCATTGGATGATGCGCGGTTCGAAAGCAGGCAAAATGTTCCTATGGGTCGGCATGCACAACAGCGATAAAAAGCAAGAGTGATATATATATATATATATATATATATATATATATATATATATATAACTTTATGTCACTTTGTATATATCACTCTATATATATATATATATATATATATATATATATATATATATATATCAAACGAAGCGTTTGCTGGCAAAGACATTACCAGCAAAATTGGGTCTCTGCTATTTAGCCATGGCATTTCGGTCACACGAGGTATCGTCCGCCTCATTGCTGCACACGCGAATTTAGTTCTGACCAACTTTAGTGCTGAGCGCCGGCACCTTCCGAAGGGCACAGCTATCGCTTCGTACGACAATATCGTAGAAATGCGAAGCACTCTATGTTGTTCTGTATTGGACGAAGTGCCGAATCAAGAACCAGACCCGTTCTCGACGTTGGCACCACTCTGTCAAAGGACGAGCGACAGAGACTTCTTCAGCTGCTAGCCGAATTCCACGACTTCTTTTCATCGACATCACGAGTTAGTCGGACACCTTTGGCAAAGCATCGAATAATATCTGAGGACGTGGTGATATATATTCACCAGAACCCTCGTCGTGTAGCTTCAAAGGAACGCAAAGACGTACAACAAGTCAAGAAAATGCTTGAAGAAGACCTCATTCAACCGTCACGGAGCCCCTGGGCATCGCCTGTAGTGCTGGTAAAGAAAAAGGACGGCATCCTGAGTTTTTGCGTGGACTACAGGAAGCTGAATCGGGTGACCAAGAAAGATGTGTACCCGCTCCCACGTATTGATGACACTCTTGACAGACTTCGGCACGCTCACTACTTTTCTTCCACGGACTTGAGGAGTGGATACTTGCAGATCGATGTAGATCCAAGAGACCGAGAGAAAACCGCTTTTGTGATGCCAGATGGTTTATACGAATTAAAGTCTTGCCTTTCGGTTTGTGCTCCGCACCCGCGACTTTTCAAGGGCTTATAGACGTGGTACTTTCAGCATTGAAGTGGAAGACGTGACTAGTCTATCAGGACGACGTTATAGTGTTTTCGACCACTTTTGACGAGGATCTCAAAAGGATGGGAGTTGTTTTACGCGTCATACGGTCCGCGGGCCTAACATTGAAACCAGAAAAGTGTCATTTTTGTTTTCACGAACTTCAGTTTCTCGGTCACGTCGTCAGCAACGCAGGCGTCTGGCCCCATCCTGAAAAAAATGGCGCTGTCGCACAGTTCGCAGCACCCTCCAATAAGAAGGCTGTCAGACCCTTCCTGGGCCTTTGTGCCTATTATCACGAAACCATCAGTAATACCACACACAGAACCGCAAATAGTCATGCTGCCTCCCCGCGTCGACTCCGGTCTGGCCCTATGTCACAAAGTGATCTAAGTTAGGGTCACGCAGGAAGCGGTACTCTCTCCGTTCTAAGTACTAACATACGTAGCCTTTTGTCGAAAAGTGATGACTTGTGTGCCTGATGAATGATTGTGACGCTGGTATTGTCGCTCTAACTGAAACATGGTTGTCGAATACAGTCTCTGATGCCGAATTATTAAAATGTGAACAACGTTACAAGATCTTTCGCTGTGACAGGTATGAGCGACGAGGTGGTGGTGTTCTACTTGCGATTAAAGATGACATTGAATGTTTCCTTGTTCCTGTTCTCACCGACTTTTAATCGGTATTGTGTTGTATTCGTACTGGCTTTAAAAACCTAATAATTGCAGTTTGTTACCGACCCCCATCCAGCCCATCGAACTTTTGCGATTCTTTTCATGACTGCTTAAACCAGCTTACTGTTCGTTTCCCAGGTGCGACTATTATTCTTTTAGGCGATTTTAACTTCCCGGACATTCAGTGGTCAGACACTTACCAGTGCTCTATGGCAACGTCATCTGAATCTACCGAATTTCTTTCGATTTGCAATGACTTTGGGCTATCACAATTAGTTCAGCATCCCACACGTGTTACCTCAACTACATCATCACTTCTAGATCTCGTGTTGACGTCATCTCGAGATCTTGTGTCCCCGATAACACTGCTGCCTGGGTTAAGTGATCACGACATAATTCATTTTTCTCTATCGTTTCCACGTTTGCGCTCATCCAATCGTTTTAAAGTGATGAGAGATTATAACAGAGCTGACTTTAACACCATAATACTAAATTATGCGCTTTCTTAGATACTGTTTTCCCTGCAAGTTTTGAACGCACTGCAGAAGATAACTGCAACCTATTTAGAAGTGAAATTTTGGAACTAAAAAATAAATATATTCCGGTAAGAAAGGTGTACTGCAATAGTAATTCTCCCTGGTACAACCGACACCTAAATAGACTCTCTAACCACAAGAAAAGACTGTTTAGAGCTGCGAGGACGTCCCAGTCTGCAGCTCGATGGCTAGCTTACAAATCTGCAGCTGCTACCTACTTAAGTGAACTAAAAGTAGCTAAATTTACCTTTTTTAACAGAACCTTACCATCAGTGCTGCAAAAAAATCCCAAACAAGTTTGGAACATATTACGAGGTAACAAGCATAACAACCTGTCTTTATTATCCCAAGGTAATGTAATTCCGGATCATCAGTGTGCATGTTTACTTAACCGTACTTTTGCTGAAACTTCTTCTGAACAATCCAGTAGTAATGACATACTTCCGTTTAATTTTCCCTCAATGAACATCATTGTCATTAGCTCGGAAGGAATACGGTCCATCATGAATAAACTAAAGATTTCATCTTCATGCGACTGCGAAGGTATCACCACAAAATTCTTGAAAAACACGGCAGAGTGTTCTTCTCTAATCCTTGAACGAATATTCACACAGTCTTTTCTTACGACAGTGCTTCCTAACGACTGGTTAATTAATAGGGTGGTACCTTTACATAAGTCCGGAGCAACCCACGATTCAGGTAACTTTCGTCCCATCTCTCTCACATCAGTACCACGTAAAATTTTAGAACATGTCATTTACTCTCACGTTATCAAGTTTCTTCAAGACAATGATTTCTTTACACCCACTCAGCATGGCTTCCGAAAACAGTATTCGTGTGAAACACAGCTTCTACTTTTTGCCAATGACTTACACATATCCCTTGACTCTGGAACAATAACTGACTGCATCTTTCTAGATTTCAGCAATGCCTTTGATAAAGTAACGCACTCCCTGCTACTACATAAACTAAGCCTAATAAACATTGACTCATACGTGCTCGCTTGGATCCGTAGCTTTCTTACTAACCGCTCCCAATACGTATCGGCTAATAATTTCGACTCGTCTACTGTACCAGTTCGCTCCGGAGTGCCACAGGGGTCTGTCCTTGGGCGATTGCTGTTCCTAATTTACATTAACGACTTGCCTAACAATATTTCTTCAACAATGCGCCCATTCGCGGATGATTCTGTAATTTACCGCCAAATATCTAATAATAATGACATCACTACTCTCCAATCGGATTTGACTAACGTGCTTAACAGGTGTAAATTATGGCAAATGGAATTAAATGTTTCGAAGTGCAAGTCTATGCGCATATCACGTATTACTACGGCAAGTCCAAATTATTTCCATAACAGCGCCGTACTCGATCCCGTCCCCTCTTTTAAATACCTTGGTGTCCATATTACTAACAACCTATCTTGGAAACATCATGTCAATTCTGTCACATGTAAGGCAAACTGGGTTCTAGGACTCATGCGAAGAAACTTTTACATGGCCCCTGTTGATTTAAAAAAAGCTTCTTTACATTACGTACGTTCGTCCGCATTTGGAATACGCGTCATCGATATGGGACCCTGGTAATATCACTTTAGTTAATGAACTTGAGAGCATTCAGAATCGCACTGTTAGATTTATATTATCAGATTATCGCCGTACCGCTAGCGTAACAAACATCAAATCAATTATTAACATTCCTTTACTCGCTACACGCCGTAAGTTATCCCGTCTCGTACTCTTCCACAAAATTTACAACAACTCCCTTCTGCGTTCACTTTTGATAACCCCACCGTCATACATTTCAACTTGCACTGACCATGCGCAGAAAGTTGCTGTTCCTCGCTTCAAGACATCAACATATTCCCACTCATTCCTGCCTAAAACTTGCAAAGATTGGAACCACCTCCCACAATCAGTTGCATCCATCACCTCGCCTTGCAGTTATAAACATCGCTCGATAACATACTTGGTGTTGGAAATGTAAACGTTTGATTTTGTTGTTAGTTTTCTTGTATAATCTACTGGCTGTATAACATAGTTGCAGTTGATAATAGTGGCTTTCCAGTGTTTAATAATGTTCAAGTGTCTTGTCTATGTATTCTTTTCTTTAACATTGTTCGTCAGTGCCCGCTCCCCTCTGCAATGCTGTAAAGCCCTGAGGGTACAATGAATGAATGAATGAATGAATGATGAATGAATGAATGAATCACCGGTTTATTGCAGACTTCGCACGCATCACGTCGCCACTAACTCGTCTCACAAGAGACGACGTTGCCTTTTTGTTGAAAGAACAGAAGGCTGCCTTTGATGACCTGTGTCAACGTCTTCAAACGCCCCCGGCACTTGCCCACTTCGACGAAGAAGCCCCGATGATGCTTCACCCAGACGCTAGCAATGTGGGTCTTGGGACTGTGCTTGTGCGACGGCAAGAGGACACAGATAGAGTGATCGCCTACGCAAGCCGAACGCTAACACGCGCAGAGGCTAACTATTCAACAACAGAGAAAGAATGCCTCACCGTAGTATTGGCAGTAATGAAATTTCGCCCGTTTTTGTATGGCCGGCACTTCAAAGTTATTAGTGACCATCACTCCCTTTTCTGGTTTACTAGTCTAAAATATCCCACCAGCCGATTAGCGCGTTGGAGCCTGAAACTGCAAGAGTTTGACATGACGGTCGTAAAGAAGTCAGGCGAGCGACATATGGACGCTGACTGTCTGCCCCGTTCACCCATTGAGTCGGCAACCCTGCCTGAGGAGGAGGAAATGGCATTTCGTGGTGTCCTCGCCACGACCGCTATTGCGCAGCAACAACATGATGACATTGAGTTGTTTGGAATAATTACTATTTGGAAGGCAGATCTCAGAAGGCACCGAGAGTTTTCGCAAGAGTGTTGTCATCGTTTTGTTTATGGGGTGGAGTACTCTACAAAAGAAACTTTTCGTCGACAAGATCCGCCTATCTACTCGTCATCCCAGCAGCCCTTCATACCGAAGTACTCAAAGCATGCGCCAACGAGATGACCTCTGGCCATTTGGGCTTCACGAGAACGTTGGCGAGAGTACAGCAAATGTATCACTGGCCGAGACTAACCACAGCCGTAAAGCACAACGTTCGTAGCTGTTTCGACTGCCAGCGACGCAAGACACCATCAACTAAGCTAGCTGGCCTCCTGCAACCCCTGCAGATCACCACAGCTCCATTCTACCAGATCGGCATGGACTATTTGGGCCCTCTACCTACTTCTACGGCAGGGAACCGCTGAGTTATCGTCACGACGGATTATCTGACCCACTATGCCGAGACAAAGGCTATCCAGAGAGGTAAAGCAGTGGAGGTGGCAAGATTTTTCATCGAGAATAATGTACTGAGGCATGGTGAACCAACCGGCGCGATCACAGACAGAGAAACCACATTTACGGCAGCTCTTTTGGATGACGTACTGATGCTGAGTGGAACAACGCATCGTAAGAGCACCGCCTACCACCCACAAACAAACGGGCTGACGGAGTGCCTGAAGAAAACCATTGAAGACGTTGGAGGCTTCCGGGCACGGTCAGCTCCCATTGTCTCCCCACCCCTCTGCGATACTATGCTGCAAATGCCTATGATCTGCTTTCGTTACGTTTATTTATATATCAAAACTGTTTCTTCCCTTCCTGGTAATATTGTGTTTTATGTTTGGGATCTTTCTTTTTTTACCATTCACTAGCTTATAACGATGCAGTCGTATGGTTCCAGCAGATCTTTCTTCGGGCATTGCTCCTGGATGGCCTTGTTGTTCCGATGATCACCCTTGAAACGTGGCTACCAGCAGCCTTCTATCCCCGCTCGAAGTTTTATTTCGTATTGATTTTCATTTTTCTATTCTTACTCTCCTCGTCCACATTTCTTCTCGTCCACCCTTTCCTCCCTTCTGTTTACTTCAACGAGCATAATTCTCATCCAACGCTCAACTCCCTCTTCCTTCTGTCAGCACTCCGTATCTTGCCCACAGCTTTTCATCACTCTTCTTCATTTTGCTCGAATTGAATGCCAACGTTTCACCTCGGACGAGCTGGGCTGGGCAGCCCGGCTTGCCCAATCTGTGGCACATACGCGCCCAAGTTTTCACGAAATCTACGCGGACATTTTCAAGCATACAACAGCTCTGCTGTTGTAAACGCTATTTTATCTCCAACTATATTGTAAGTCTCAATGAAGTGCGCAGCTGGGCAGTATTCTTTCTTTCTTTCGTGTTTTTTATTTTCGTCCTTTTCTCTGATTTCTTATTCGCTGTTTTAAATTTTAACTGTTATTTCTTTTTAATACTTCATTATTTTATTTTAAAAAGTGAATAATTTATTCTTTATTAATTAAATCTTTATTATGTTATGCCTCGTTTCATTCATCCTCAGATTTTATACGTGGTTTATGTTGTGTAATTCTGGCCATAGTAATACATCCTGACTTCATAATGTCATCAAGATGCTCGAAGAGCAAGAGAATAAACGCTTTTCATTCGCGCGAGTGGCTGTTCATTACGCGGCAATTTTCTATGCAATATTTAGTTTGCCTGCGTTGTTATCATCATCGAAGCGCTTGATGAAAAAAGACATAGAAGACTAGCCCTAAAATCATTTTCAAGGTGGTCGAAGAACGTGAGGCAAAATACTTTTCCGGAAGAGCGGTCCTTGTGCTACAGCTGACTGTACTTTATGTGGTTTAGCTTGCGTTACTTCAAGCGACGATGATAGCACACGGGAGCTATGCCTCCTAAAGTGCTCCACACCAAAAAAACGGAGTTTTGAGTTTATGAGAGGATTCGGGAAAATTTGGTGTCATGTGCTCGGACACTTCTTATTTTTTCTGAGAAAGATTTGTGCTGAAATCTGGTGCTGATGCTATTTGGCTGTACACATCTTCTGGTCTCTCCATGCAGCAGAGTTTTTCCGGCTAAGCATGTCTGTACCTCGAAATATAAAAAAACGTAGAAAGCCTAAGCAATCAAATATATAATTATGTTCGTTACTTACCCAGTAAGGAGCATGATAATGTCAGACGTGGCAAAATAAGCTTTCTGGGCAACGAAATTCATAAACTTTGCTACAGTTTCTCCATAAAGCACGTTTTTCGTTGCTTCATAGCCAGATACTTCCACCATGTAGGGTTCATCAGAGCGCTGAAAAAGCAAAACTTATGCCATTATTTGTTCAGCCTTGCACAGCAGAATAAATAGACAGTGCATGCAGATGATTAGATATTCACAGCTAGATATCTATTAGTAGATTGCATTGGCAGTAAACTTAATATTGAAAACAGTTTTATTGTTATTGCAGTCTTCCTATGAGACATGTCATCTCAGGCTATTTTTTACAGCATAGCAAAATGAAAATCTACTAATCCTATTTTTGAATTTTAAAGAAAATATATTACAGGTCTTTGCTGAGTGAATGAAATGTGATTGATACGAAACCACTTCACTAAAGTGCATCGAAAGTGGGTAAACTGAAAACAAGTTCACTCAGTACAGCTCATCCTTCATAGGGCCGCGAATCGCTAAATCGTATTGGCCATAACTTTTCAAATGTCATCGTACTGAAAAAAAAACTTGTCATGATGCTTTCACGTTACAACTTATTTTCAGGAGCACAAGAAAAGCAGCTTCTGAAGGTTGAAACGGTGAAATGTTGAAAACAACCTTTAAACTATTGTAACACACGAAGCTTCACTCTAGCTCCACTGTGCTTAAAGAGTTGCACCCATCATTAGAGTCGTACGAGTAGGAAAGGCATTCTGTCGATTGGCTTGACATGCAAAAACAGATGTGGTGTCGTGTCATCCGTTAATACATGACAAATTTTTCCTTTGAGTATTGTCTTCGGTTTCAAACCACACAGAAGAAGCTTTTTAGAAATATCGCATGCAAGTCATATTTGAGTGTACTCTTCTCATTACTGTACATTTAGTAGTTCATGTATATCAATGAGTTAGATCACTAAGCAAGTATTTGTCGCGTTCAAGCATTCATTTTGTGAGATTATTTTACGTGGGTGAGTACTTGTCTAGGGGTCGTTCATGCTTCCTACTATATACACAGATATCTGAGGATTTTAATACAGTGCGCATCTGCCAGTGTTACCAAATGAGGAGACTATACCATATGGATTCAACTACAGACGAAACTCTCTGAGTGAATTAAAAAATGGCTTCACCTATCTATCTATCTATCTATCTATCTATCTATCTATCTATCTATCTATCTATCTATCTATCTATCTATCTATCTATCTATCTATCTATCAAGCAATCTATCTATCTATTTATCTATTTATCTATCTATTTATTTATTTATCTATCTATTTATCTATTTATCTATCTATCTAGTCAACATCTACGCATGCATGATTTTTTGCCCACCTTCGTATCTTACTGTATACAAATATTTGCATAATACGACATGACCATTACAAACATGAGTGACAGAAGAAGTAGTGAAAACATGACAAGTCTGTTACGAATGTTTGTTGAACAGATTACCTGCAAGGCCAATATCGAACTTTGCTTTTGCGTTCATCATGAAGTAATTCACCGAGTCACATGCAGCTAGCTTATTCCAACCTACCATAGGTACTGGTATGCGGATACGCCTCACATGCCAATCCGAATTATTGTCGACATCAACCTTCATTCAGGAAAATCAACCATTTAAATCTTTATAGAGAACTTTTCTGAGCTAAATACCATATACACAGAGATTTTCTAAAGTTGGTCATACTAACGTAATTTTATGGTAGATGTTCTGCAACTTGAGGGGCGACGTGCTTTGAATTCTGACTAAATGTATCATAAGAACGGCTATCTGACACCTATTAGTATAGAGGAGCTTGGTAAAGCATATAGGCTCTGGCATTCAGAGCACAATAAAGTGATAGAACAATACCTTTTCCGTCACGCTGATTCCAACAATGGTCAACTGTACTTTTGGCTGCACCATGCTTCGGTACCGCAGATTGGCCTTTCGAAAAGGAATATAATCAGTTAATCGGTGTTTCACAGATAAAAAACAAGCTACACAAGATAAACATGCTCAACAAAAAAATATGTAGACAAATTTTGCCATGTGCTTCGTCAGTTTTTTGCCTTATAGCTGATAGGTGTAATAACGTTTAAAGGGCCACTCACCAGGCTACATACCAAATTTTAATCATACCCTGCCACGGTGGTCTTGCCATCAGGCTAAGGTACTCGGCTGCTGACCCGCAGGTCACGGGATTGAGTTCCGTCTGCGGCGGCTGCACTTCGAATGGAGGCGGAGATATTGTAGGCCCGTACGCTTAGATTTGGGAGCACGTTAAAGAACCCCAGGTGGTCGAAATTTCCTCCCATAACCAAATGGTGGTTTTGGGACGTTAATTCCCACATATCAATCAATCAGTTTTAGTTGGAGAGTGGAAGTTGTTGAGTGTCTGTCAGGAGCACACTGTCACAAAACTTATTTGAATCGGTTCACCATGAGCGAAAAAACAGGTTTTTTGAAGCGGCGTGAAACAAGGATGAGAGGAGACGAGCTCAAAACGCTTGCCGCTCCTCCGCGTAACCATCGCAAGCCAAATCTCTTCCCCATCCTCTCAGGCATCTGACCAAGAGGTCACGTGCGCATGACCTACCCAAACAAGTCCAACCCCCAAGCACGCTAGCGGCGTTGCTTTGTTGACCAGCGGTATTTTATGGTCTTTTGCCTGTTTCTGCGGGATGGTTTTTATCGCTGATTTAGACGTGGCAGAATTGATGAGCACAATAAGTGCGCCAATGAATGGGAGCGTTTCAGGGCAGTCGTCTGCTCGATTGCGCTGAGTGTAGGGACATGAACGCATGCAAAACGCCGACACACTGGCCCCGCATCTCGTTGCGATTCATGGGAGAAAAATAAAAAAAGACGCTTACAGTCTGTCATTGCGTCTCATTATTTCCCTAGAGCTTTATTATTTTCTTCAAGCTGCAAACTACATAAACTACGCTTGCCATGTTAAATAATTTGCGCCATGTCACGTGTCACTGTTTGCAACGGCAGAGTAGAGTCGTCTACGTAGAGAACCAACGTCACTGGCATTGCCGTGTACGTAGGGCCATTCGTACGCGCACGTCATGCCCTCATTCTGTAGGCACGCACCGGCAGAAGGGAGGGGGAGCAGCGTTCATCTTGGAAATTTGACCATTTGCCCGGCACGTAGCGTTGCAAATTTTGGGCAGACGTGATCATGTACGCCTTGTCCTACGCAATGCGCTTGTATGCTAAAAATAATCAAACCTGGTGAGTGGGCCGTTATTGCAAACCCTACCAAGCTGTGCATTGTTAGAAGTCTTTTTCGTCCCAGGAAAACAGCATCTGAATCGCTATTGGCTCTGTCTCCACGTTACGTACATAGTCATACTTGCACAACACTCTCTTCTGTCTTGGTTCACTAGATGCCGTAATGAAACTCGGAATTTTGTCATTGTTGTTTCATAGCTTGTCCGCGCAAGCACACGCTGAAATTCGACATCTCGTCAGCAGTCCACTACAAAAAAGTTACGGCTTTGCGCCAAATGCGAAGCAATGAACGCAATAGCAACAATGGAAAGGTCACGGGCAAAATGACAAGCAGATTGAAACGTGCCCGTCATTTCTCACGGACAATAACGCACGAAACGTACTCACAGGTCCTGATAAACGTGAATAGCCTCTCAGTTGTTACTTCGCTGTGTCTAAAAAGCAAGCTCCTTTCGAAAACGGAGATTGTACAACGATTCCATTGACCTTTGGTGAGCTCCGTAACCAGAAGAGTATTGTTCCGGTAAAAGCTACTGGCCAACCAATGCGTACGATCCTCCCCACCGCGAGATCAAGGAACACGAGCGAGCGTCCACCTTCTTCTCTGTGCGGGGCAAAGTACGGCTCATAGATGAGAGCGCGCACCACCACGCACCCACTGCACCATCTTTGTGGTAATGCTCAAAACACGATAGTCGCCCCCACCAAGATACGCACCGCTGCATGCTCATTGTGCCATCTTGCTGGTAATGCTGAAAACACAATTGCCCCCCCCCCCCCGAGATGCGCGCCGCCGCGTGCTCATTGCGCCTTCTTGCCGGTAATGCTGAAAGCACGGTGCCCCCCCCCCCCAAGATTCCTATCCCTAGCGGTAAGTGGTAGATATAAACAGCTTACCGTTTTAACGGTAATGATTTGCATCTTCGGTGTTTCAGTGGTTTAACACCTCACATTCAAGACTCAGAGGTTCCACGTTCGATTCCGCGCACCGGAGTCTTTTGCAGGATTTTTTTCTTTTGCATTTTTATATATATGCATTCGTATACATGTACAGTGAGCGACGGCGACGCCCACGTCCGATGCCGCGCTGGCTGCAAAAATTCATCCGAAAATATTCATATAATTGCAATCGCAATAAAGAAGTACTGGATGAAATAAAGCGGCATATGTTGAGGCTTCCACTAAGCAGCAAAATGCTTCAATTAATGGAACCGGACAATTCTCCTGACAAATCCGGTTGCCTTTAGGTTGCATTGTATGTATTTGCAAGTTCATCTAGGTTGCTTTTAGGCACTTTCTTGGTTTTACTAAGCTCTAGCTAGGAGACGAATTACCAAGCTGCAGCTAGGAGATGTTTCATGTTGATTCTCTCAACAGACGTGTTTCAGAGAGGTTAGACAATCCCAGACGCGACACGGATGTCTAAACTTCAGACACGAAAACTTGTCTTTATTACTGCCGTCATAATGTAGTCATATCAAGCATGGCAGGCGAGTTCACACTACGCATGGGAGGTATAGGCACGTCCCTGAAGCCGTAGACATTCCAAGCTACCGAGTCTTCTTGGAGCCACCGTTGACTTACCCGATCTCCAGTATTTTCTGTTTGTATTGATTGGGGACTACGGCATGCCGCCATCGCTTGGCATAAATTCCTTGGTTTACTTCCTACAACTTAAGAGGGCTAGAAGTGAGCAGTGGAATGTACCCCACTTTGGAAGATACACTTATGATGGTCACAGTTGCCTGAATGGGCTAACGAGAAATGACTTGCCGAACATTTTCACTGTTAAAAACTCACAGGGTCTATTATAAATGTGCTTATGAAGACTCGTAGGTAAAAGAAGTGTTCTTTTATTTTGATGAACGTTATTTGCACACAAAGAGCCACTCTTCAGATTCTTGAATAGAAGCCTGCCACCTACTTCATCTGGGCACGCACTCGCCAAGTCAGCAGGTTATTCGTGATATTAAAAGTCAGGACTACATACAAGCCCCTTTCTTCAAATTTAGAGGCAAGATATGGCATTCAAGGCTATCTAAAGGAATGAGGGACAATAGGCTCTGATACTAAAAAGGCGGTGCGACGAAAGTTGCGCTCGAATGTGCGTGGGCGCGCTTATTTAGCACACGACAATCAGCCTTAGTTGAATGTGAGACATCTTTAGAAAACTTGCATGAGAATTTTTTTTCATTTTCAGCTTGCTCATTTAACAGCAACTATTATACACAGTGCCAACAAAAACAAGCACACCTGATCCTAATACAGCCTTTGATTTATGTTGGTTATTCGCCAATAAGCATGCGATACCTTTTTGAACGTCAGATAACAGAAATGTGATATTGGATGACAGGCGCACGTCCACTGATGAGATCGGAAACACGCCTTTGGATGAAAAAAAATGGAACCTGGGACTTGCGCTTGTAACCTTGACGCCACACACATGACTGCATAATTTGGCTGAACATTTTATGGTCCTGTCAGCTTTTCGCTGAATGTAGTTTTTTCAACAAACTCCAGGAGTGCTTCATCGCCCCTTTCAATAAGGAGGCACTGGTACAGTTTGCAATGGCAGCGCGTTTTTGAAACAAGTGGAAGTAACAGCTGTGAGAATTGATATTTCGAGTTTCTGCTGTATATACTACCGTGGTCTTTTATACTATATTTCAGACTAGCCTCGCAACTTGTTAGAGATTGGGAAACTGATACGTCACTGCAGAAACGAAACAATAATGAAATAGCACCAATTATGCTAACTGAAACTAAAATGTGCAGTCACCTTACTGCAAACGGAAACCTATGTCTACCGTTTTCTGAGAGATGGATTGTGTTTGTTTTTTGTTATATTTATTGAATGCGAAACAACGATTACAACTGATGTGTGCTGCAAGACACTGAGCAAACTGAGATGTGGTACTAACATTAACGATACATTAAACTGTTACCAGGACTTCTTCTCCTCCATGACAAAGCGCGTGCTCACACCGCAGCCCACCATCATTCATGGCGGCCAAAACCAAAGACGAGCTACAAGCGCTGCTGGTGACCTTAGCGTCAGAGTTTAAAATTTGATGTCGTCCAACGAAACCTTGTCATGGCCCACTTGGGCTTTAGTGTACCGGGACCCTGTCGTTAAAGTTAGAAATCTGACAGGTGCAGTAAAGTGGACTAATTGAAGACGATTAGTAAGACAGGGCATTCAGTGCGATATGGGTTGTCTTTCCCGCGTTAGTATCTATTAGCCTAAACTACCTGGAGCTGGTAGGAGGTGAATTACCAGGTAACATGAAGTTGATCGAAGACGTCGTCGAGGCGGGTAAGAGGGTATACATTGGGCATGGTAATGATGTTTAAGTGGAGATAGTATTCGCGAAAGCGCTGCAGTTGTGTTATTCGTTTTTCACGGGGATGACATGGGACTACCAGCATAGAACGAGTGAAATGTGATGACACGCTTCATTTTTCCTTTGTTTGCAATTTTGAACAATAATAGGTCCAAACACGACCAGGCAAGTGTCAAAGCGGTGCATGAGCGTCAGTGTCAATGTGACGTAGGAGGAGAGTACAGGAACGTTTTCCCAGTAACAGCGTCAAACACAGTCAGAATCGCCTCAGAAAGCATGAATAGTGGTCTTGAGTGGGGAGGTCATTTAGGTCTAAATAATCCTAATAGAGAACACGCAGTCATCACCACTCTGCGGAACAATACGGCCTTAAATGTTGCAAGAACACAGCAGGGCTGACGACTCAACCGGAAGCCTGCAAAATTCGAAGCAAGCTGCCGTGTACGTTGAATACCAGTGCAGTGAATGTCGAAAACGAAGAGCCCAGTAAGGCGTGTGTTCTCAAGTATATCAGGCACGTTTCAAGTACATTGGATTCTGTACCTAGGCATATTTCGCACCCACAGCTTTTTTTCATTCTTCGAGATTTCCTTGGTTCGCGCAACGCTTACTCTGCTGCAGACTTTCAATTCATACCAGGCCCCGAAATTTCAAACATATTATCCGGTGTTTCACGTCCAAAACCACACAGAATCTCGATTAAAGACGCGGTACTGGTGGGGCTCTGAAAATTCCGACCACACCTGCGTCTTTGAGGTGCACCTATGCGTGAATACAAAGGTCTGTATCAATTCTCCTCTACCGAAATGCAGCCGCCCTGTCCAGGATAGAACTACTGACCTTAGAATCAGCAGCCGAGCACCGTAAGGCTCAAGGCAGACATGCTTTTATGAACTGTCAGCAAGATGTCCCACTCATCGAGAGACATCGATTGGCACACGGTGAATCATCATACATACTATGTCGCACAGTGGGGAACTACAAAATTTGTGAAGTTTACTAATTGATTGAATAATGTTTACCATGTGTTTCATTCTCGCCTGCCTTCTAACTGTACATTTCACGCGAATACTTGCAAGTGATTTTTCGTTGAAGAAAAATATTCATGGTGCATGCACACGCTTCGAGAGTTCTTTTTGGTAAAGACTATTTTGTTTGGTCGCCACGATATTACGAGCCTACAAACACAGTGCACTTATTTTAACTTGAACCACTGCCTTAAACGTAGTGTGAAGTTTTAGGCCGTAAATTTGTACTAATGACAATGTTTCAGTTAGCTATCCGGAGGAAGCACATGGTTCGGATCGTGGAGTAACTTTGAGCTGCGCTATGTATGCGTGGTATATCTCGAATGTTATTCTCGTTGTATACACACTGATATATAGCGTTGCATTCATGACTTGTACGTACAGAGTTTCCTAGGATAGCGATGTAGCGTGAAATCTTGTGCTTGCTGAACTTCATTGCTGAGCAAATTTCGAAGTCGACTACGACGAAAACTTCCGGACGTATGAGCACAGGTATGCGGAGGCCTGAAAGCAAACCACTGTGTTATTCTGAAAATATCTTGTATTAACCAAACGAACAAAAAGACAATGACACCCGTATGATTCTTCTGAAAGAAATTGACTTAAGCAAACAGTAGAATGTAAGAGTGCCAAAAAATGAAAGAAGTCCGCTTGTTTTTTTGTAGATGTCACTCTTTTCTTTTTCTCAACTTCATGGCAACGACCAGACAATGAAAAATAAGAATAGAAGAAATCCAGGGAGGTTAACATGGGCTGACCACAGTAGGCTACCTTGCACTGGACAAGGAAGAGAAAGAAGGACAGATGGAGAACAATCTTGAAGCCAACAGAGGTCGAGGAGATTACTTGCAGTATTTATGATATAAAGTCACGTTATAAAGCGGAATAAAAGACAAGTTATTGCCGACAGGTAGTGTACCTGCCAACTTAAAATGATTCGTCCGATGCTTTATTACTTGAGCTACAACGATAGTCAATTTACCGCCGTTGTGTGTGCAAATAAAACAACACTACTGGAAATACGTTGTTTTTTTGCACTTGAAGGCGCTAAACACTCACGGTTCTGAGAGGTAAGTTTACTACGACATACTGATTGGTAATTATAAACAATCCGCAAAATGAAATTGTTGCTCGTGACGCCACTATAAAGTTCCAGCACCAATTACCTGAATTTCATAGATTTCGACCGTGTCTAATAGATAATTCACAGTCGCTTATCGGTATAATGACGTTCAGCCACCAATTGTTAAAATTCTGCGCGCGAGCGCTGACTGCCAGTCGATAAGAGGCGTTTAACGGAGGACACGGCCAAATAAACGACGACACAAACATGCCTGCAATAAGGAGTCTTGTGCGGTGGTGTTCTGCTAGGCAGTTCGAGAAATTGGGAACCAGGGGCGTGAAACAGGCGCCTACAAACTCGTGATTTATACTTGCACATTCATGTTGAAAAATGGGGGCTGTAATAAAAACATAGAAAGGGCCATAACGTACCAAATTTCTATAAACTTCACTGAAACAGTGTCGCCATATTACGAAAAATACAGTTTTAAATTCGTGCCGTCACATTTCTATATCTTCACGCGGATTTGAAAATTTTAGTCGTGGCGTTGATATTCTCCTGTATTATAGTGCATGTGACTTTGAAATAACGAGAATATGAATGGTAGTGTTCTTATGTTTACTAAAAACGCAGTATACCTACAAAAAAGTACCTGCGTAAATGCGTGCTCCACTGCAATTATAGAAAGACGGTAGTCTCCTGCCAGCCTTCTTTCTTGCATAGCTTCATATTTCACGCACAGCGGAAAAAACACTCTGGTCTTTTTAATTACGTATCTGTACTTCATAGTAAGTGAACACACCACCTAATACTTACATATAAATGTTGGGCCTCAGACATGTCTAATACGTGCTTTTTATCGACGTTTACAAGTATGAACGCAGCCATCAATTCATTGTGGCTGGGCGTTTACCAGCTGGCTAGACTTGGGTCAGGTGGCTAATTTGTGTGACGCAGAGACAGAGAGGAAGACAGACCGACCATCCATCTAACTATCCATCCGTCCGTCTGTCCATCCATCCATCCATCCATCCATCCATCCATCCATCCATCCATCCATCCATCCATCCATCCATCCATCAATCAATCAATCCGTCCATCCGTCCGTCCACTGTTTCATCCATTCGTCCGTCCGTCCGTCCGTCCGTCTATCTGTCTATCCGCCTACGTTTAAATGCTTTTGTGATTACCCTTTTAACTTCAGGTAAACCAAAATTAGTATGATAAGGTAAAATGGTTTGTAGAATAAGGTCTCACAGATCATGGTGTTAATAATGTCACTATTCCGTCACGTAAGCCAAAAAATCTTTTTCTCCAGACATTTGCGACACGCACGCGTGTATGTGCCGAGGAGATTGAAAGTTTGAATCAAGCCAGGAACGGCAAAAATTTACATGGGTTAGTTTAACGCGTGGGCGCTAAGAAAAAGCCGATGTTAAACTCTAAGTCAAATCCTGTCTGGACTACATGCCCGCAGGCAGGAAATCAGGTCAAATTATCACCGCTTCTAGGCGGCTGCGTAGTCGTGTTGCAGAGAAACTGGCCCGATTTGAAGTTGCCTTCACAATAACCGGGACAAAGAGTAGCCGGGATTTTAGATAAAATTTCTCCTCGCAAGATACAGCCTGCGCTTAGGCGTGTCTTCCGTAGGCGGCCTGGCCTTGATGTGGTGGCGGAAAAAAAGTAATATTCCACGCTTTTCAGGGTGGTTTCTTGCCGAGAATGCGACGGATATTACGACTACAGGTAATATATACTATAAGTATCACAACCACCTATACTTGCGAGAATAACATGCAAAGCACAGCCCTGGATTTGAACTCGGGATCGCATGCACCTGAAGCAGATGTATTACTTATTGCACCACAGTGCCACCGCATGACAGCGACTCTTTTTGTGGGGGTATATATCTACCAAGTGGGTTTTTGCAAACCACACTCGGAACCTTGAACTGTTCTTGTGCCATGTGCATGCATTTGATCAGGGAATAGTTTGTACGGCTTCATGAATTCGAGACAACCACGCTGAACGCTTTCGGCTCCGACTTCGGTTGATGGTGCGCCGTTCCGGAAGAATAATTAACGTGTGTTTGTGCGTCGTTTTAGTGCTTCCTCGTGAACTATGGGTGTTACGCTCACCGAAATTCGCGGACGAGGCTGTGTTTGGCTGTAGAAACCTGCGTGTGTTTCTCGCACGTGCGTGTGCTGTGAGTAATTTGGCTGATTTTTGTCAGGAGGTACACGCAGGTCAGTGACAGCAGCCTATTCTCAGCTGTTTGAAGACAATGCGGTTTTACACGTAAACGTTGCATGGGTATTTTGGCGTGCCTACTCTAACATTTGCATTCCGTGCGCGCGAACTCGCGCGAGGTGCACGCTGAGGCAGCAGCACCTTTTTAGCATTTCAACGATTACTCATTTCTGCAAGTAGAATTGACGCGGATTATTTCGCGATATAGAGTGCTTTTTACTCATTTTCATTCTTTAACTGTTTTTATTTATGGGGAGTGGCTACTCTTACCTTTTTCTTCGTTCAGCGAACTGGGAGCGCAGAGAAAACACAAAGGACGAAGCGAGGAACCACACAACACGAGCGCTCAACTATCAACTGATTTATTTTCCACATCGGAAGGACATATATAAACACAAAATGCGCATGTCAAAAAAAAAAGATTATGACGAAATCAAGGGCAGCATGCGAAGCGTGTAATCAAGGCACATGTCTAAGGGTTATCTAGGTAGCTGAATTCACAGTCAAGTAGTGATAAGGAAGGATGACTTATACATTGGTCCGCATTCCTGGAAATGTGATAGGCTTCAGAAATTTCGCGCGTAGTTTGATGAGGATGCCGGAACAGAACAATTGTATTCTCAAACAGAGGTTGGCACTTGCACGAAACGCAATGTGACGCTAAATGGGAGTAAGGTGTATTTTTCAACGAGCTTCTGTGTTCCCTGAGACGCACGTTCACACATCGGCCGGTCTGGGCCAATGTACATACGTCCACAAGAAAGGGGTATCTTATATACTACTCCGGTGATGCACTTAACAAACTTAGTAACGTGCTTCTGGAGGCATCCTCTACCTTTAGATGCATTATGTGCCCTCCTGTGCACCATTGAACATATACTGGCCAATTTATTGGGTGCCGAGAAAACCACGCGCACACCGAACCGGTTTCCCACGTTTTTTAACCCATGGGCCATTTTATGAATGTAGGGGATTACTGCCGCGCGCTTCTTATTCTCTTCCTTGTTCTCTGAAGAAGTACATGTGCGTTTTTCATTATTTTTGACCGTACGCAAGAGCTTTTCACAGACTGAGGCTATTACGTAGGAAGGGTATCCCGCACCTATCAGCCGTTCCAACTGTGCTACGAAACCACTTTGCAAGGTATGCAGGCAACATTTTCCGAGGGCTGAACGTAAGCATGACATTACGAGTAGTAAGCATGACATCACCGGAGTAGTATATAAGATACCCCTTTCTTGTGGACGTATGCACATTGGCCAGACCGGCCGATGTGTGAACGTGCGTCTCAGGGAACACAGAAGCTCGTTGAAAAATACACCTTACTCCCATTTAGCGTCACATTGCGTTTCGTGCAAGTGCCAACCTCTGTTTGAGAATACAATTGTTCTGTTCCGGCATCCTCATCAAACTACGCGCGAAATTTCTGAAGCCTATCACATTTCCAGGAATGCGGACCAATGTATAAGTCATCCTTCCTTATCACTACTTGACTGTGAATTCAGCTACCTAGATAACCCTTAGACATGTGCCTTGATTACACGCTTCGCATGCTGCCCTTGATTTCGTCATAATCTTTTTTTTGACATGCGCATTTTGTGTTTATATATGTCCTTCCGATGTGGAAAATAAATCAGTTGATAGTTGAGCGCTCGTGTTGTGTGGTTCCTCGCTTCGTCCTTTGTGTTTTCTCTGCGCTCCCAGTTCGCTGAACGAAGAAAATGAATTACCAACTGGCCCACATTTTGATCCTTTTACTCTTACCTTTATCCAGCTTCACATCTCTGTTCAAGTGAATGCCGAAACGCGCGCCACGATCAAGTATGACGTACACAAATTACACAAATTAGCGGTTGGTTTCCCTCCAAAGAAATAATGCCTCTGCACATCTCCTTCGCGAACGTCGGCGTGCAGTTTGGGTCAAAAAACGGTGCAGAATGAACCTCAAAATATTTATTATTACTGCTAGCTGTTACTCTTTAGAAAATGGGGGTTTTTATAGCTGGTACATTATCTCCACAGCAGTACACTGGTTGTCTTGGTGGTGGTTCACTGTTGCAAATTCATGCTGGTATTTGACAACTGTACTTATTATTCAAAAGAGTGAGCAAATGTCGGTGACATACGCTCTCTTGCTGACTTCGATTGAGTTATTGATATGTGGGGTTTAACGTCCAAAA